ATTTAACAGATTTGTTTACAAAATTTAATATGGTTAATTTGCAATTACAAGGCGACAGTTTAAATTTGATTAAAACAAAGTCCATCTTATCAGCGTTTCTTGCCAGAGTTAAACTAATGAAGCAAAATATTGGACGGGGCAAATTTTCTCAGTTCCCCAATTTGTCACAGACAAGCTGCCAGGAAGACGACGTTTCAACTTACGTTCAACATTTAAATGCCCTCTATTCAGATTTTGAATCTAGGTTTGAGGATATTTTGACTATGGTAATACCACCGTGGATAATTAATCCATATGGTGACATAGAAGAAACGAATGTCATAATACAAGAGGAACTGACTGAACTAAGTACAAACGAAGAACTTAAGGTTCAGTTTAAAAACGGATATCAGCAATTCTGGCTGCGAAACAACATACCCGTTACTTATTCCGTATTATGGAATATAGCGAGGAAATTTTTAATTTCCTTTCCATCGTCATACCTAGTGGAAAGGGGGTTCAGCGCTGTAACCAATTGTTACAAAACCTCTAGCGCCGCAGCTGACTACAGTCACCCAATTCGACGAAGGTGTGACGTCATGTTCTACCTGAGCATGACGTCACACGCGTGTTGCCTCCCTAGGCGGTAACTGGAAAAGTCCCCAAAAGAATTCGAACGTCGATCCTGAGAGCGAAGCATCGCGATGGATATGGATCAGGGATTTCAAATCAATTTATATTATATTAGACAATGGAAGTCCGAACTAATGAAATGCACCATGAAACATTGTCAGCCACCTTCAAACAAATAATAAATATGGTTTATTAATTATAGAGTACAATATAAGTCAGTTTTGAGACTTAGGCAAATTTAGAAAAGAAGTATTTTGAATTTAATGCTACTGTAAAATTTAACACAGATATCAGTTTTGAGAAATGAAACAAGTCTTTGACACATATTAAAAAAGAATAAGATCAAAGCGAATCTCAAAGTTAAAATATCAGTTTTTAGCTGAAAGAAGGGCGATGAAATGAAAGAGATGTAGTTGTGAGACAAATATATTGTCCAAGAAACAAGATTGAGAAGACCAAATTGAATATTTTCTAAATAAAAACCTAGTTCACCAAGTGAAAAGAATGACAAAAGAAAAACAGACACACTAGAAAAAGCACTCGAAAAGTCAAAAAAATTAAATCAAGTTATCTGTGGGAGTATTGACGGAATTATTATTGAAAGTCCAAAGAAATTATTCACCTCAACTATGCAATACTAGAAATATAAACGTCATCAAATGCAAAGCATTCCCATTTAGTTTTGAAATAACATTCTACTTACCTACCACTAGTCTTTCATCATCAGGAACGTCTTTGAATAGCTTCTTGAAATCTTCAGATCTAGATTTATATGAAGGGTAAAACGGATTGAACCACGAGGATTTTTTCTTACCTCTACCCGCTCGCCTCTCTTTATTTAAACTTGTTAAAGATTCTGCCTTGATATCACACTGCGGGGGCATTCTCTCAATACTGCTAGCACTACTCACGAGTTCTTTAGAACCATCTTGGCTCTGAAAATTTTAAGAAAAAAAAATTACATTTTTTGGGTATCTCTGGTAGTCAGAAATTAGTTATATGAATCAAAAAAGATCTCTACGAGATCAAAATTTACTATCCAAATTGATGATCATCCAAAGTTACATGTAATTAAACTGTTATGAGAGTTTTCTTATTAGTCAGTGGGACATGCTTGAAGACTGGCAGTAAACAAATCTAAAGAAATGAACTTTAAACGTTCAAGCCAGTCTCGGATATACCTACACAGTAGGTTGAATGCACTGACGCCTGTCAGAAAGCAACAACTCCCCTGGCTTATACCACGAAGGGCGTTGGATTATATCCGACAGGCGTCAGAGCAGGAATCTTCACAGAAAATTTCCTGCATATGCAATTGGTAATACAACTGAAAGAGTCGACCTTCAATTTTGGAACAGGCACACTTGCAGACCGCTTTCGGGCTCATTAGTCACTCATCAGTGCAAGATAGTGGCCATCATCGACCTAAAGTCAATGATATTCCGTAATTGAAAATAGAAATTCTTTCAGAGTATTTCATTCTTCGTCTTAAGTTGGAGCGAACATAAAAAATGTCACTCCATCTAGTGGACGAGGTATTAACCAACTGCATATCCGAAATTTGCCCGACTCCGCTGAATAAAGAAGAAAAACTTTCTTATTAGTCAGTGGGCTATGCTTGAAGACTGGCAGTAAACAAATCTAAAGAAATGAACTGAAACGTTCAAGCCAGTCTCGGATATACCTATACAGTACGTTGAATGGACTGACGCCTATCAGAAAACAACTACTCTTCACAGAAAATTTCCTGCATATGCAATTGGTATTACAACTGAAAGAGTCGACCTTCAATTTTGGAACGGGCACACTTGCAGACCGCTTTCGGGCTCATTAGCCACTCATCAGTGCAAGTTAGTGGAGTGACATTCTGTTGTTCGCTTCAACTTAAGAAGAGGAATGAAATACTCTGAAAGAATTCCGATTTTTAATTATGGAATATTGCACTGATGAGTGGCTAGTGAGCCCGAAACCGGTCTGCAAGCGTGCCCGTTCCAAAATTGAAGGTCGACTCTTTCAGTTGTATTACCAATTGCATATTCAGGAAATTTTCTGTGAAGATTCCTGCTCTGACGCCTGTCGGATATAATCCAACGCCCTTCGTGGTATAAGCCAGGGGAGTAGTTGCTTTCTGATAGGCGTCAGTCCATTCAACCTACTGTGTAGGTATATCTGAGACTGGCTTGAACGTCTAAAGTTCATTTCTTCAGATTTCTTATGAGAGTGCTAGTACCACTGGAAATGTTACCTCTAAGTCTCATTTAATTTGATATAGTACCGATAATTGTTTCTCTCGGGATTTCCGTAACTATCGTGAAAATAAGACAAAATTTATGTTCCTCGACAAAGGGATTGTAGCCGCTATTTTGTCAGTTACGTTTTTACTTGATACAAACAATTGGAATACAAAGCATAAGAAATATGGTAGAATATGAAAGGAATAGAAGGTAATGAAGAAAGAAAAACATAATTGAAAATAAATAATGAAGGTAATTCCTCTCCAATGTGGAAACTCCTGAAAGTCTGCATAACAAAATTATTAAACCGTAACTTGGATGTCACTATTTTCCGGGTTCGAAGGTAGTGGATTTTTGTAATTTTTTTCTGACGTTATCGCATACCGTGCACTTGTGGGAAGGTATACATTGGAACCACCAAAAGATCCATGCGAACACGGCTGAAGGAGCATGCAAGAAACTGCAGACTAGGCCAAACGGACAAGTCGGCTGTGGCAGAACACGCACTTAGTGAGGGAAGCCACAGGATTCTGTTTGAAACCACAGAACTCATTGCCACCAATCAAGGATACCATAGCCGACTGGTAGGTACGGGAGGCAATAGAGATCCACAAACACACGTATAATTTCAACAGAAAGAAGAAACTGTGAACCTCAATCGAATATGGAATTCTATTATAAGAAGTTTAAGAATAGCAAACAGTATGACGACAGGTAGAAAAAAGGTCAACGAGCGTTATTGAGAATTTACCAAATCCAGATACAGGTATTATCACACCCACGCTTTAAGTTCAGGTATTAGCATATCAAACTATAACTTGTCGAATCTAGGAAAAGACTTGAAGAATTTTCTCTTTATCTCTCTCATAGTCTTCTAACGAATGCACATCTAGTGAGCGGGACCATAACGGAATTCAGAAATCTTTTCCAACATTTGACAAGCTGTACCTGAGGAGTCAATATAAATACGCGTGCGTTACGCAGCCGTAAAATCCAGTCATCGAAGATATTAACTCAGGATGTATAAACCTCTGAAGAAGCTAGCGAAACGTCATGAAGAAACTCCAAAAATCCAAGGCCTTCAAACCCGGAAAATAGTGACAATGAAAACCTCGGTCGCGAAAGCCTTAATCATTTTGTCTTAACAGGTATATTGAAATAAATTAATATATGGTCAAATATGCACTGTTTCATTAGAGGATTATTTATTAGAAAAATGTTTTTATGTTTTACAGGAATTTTTTGAATAACTCATATTTATATTAGTTTTAGAGTATGAAGCCTGTTTTTCCCCTTTTCTTTTTAATTTGTATTTTGTATTGACACTTCCTACACAATTTTATTGTCTGACTGGAAATAAAGAATTATTATGTAGAGTAATAGTGAGAATGATTTCTGAACACATACTATTGAAATTTTTCGTAACTGTCAAACACAGGTGCACTTACTTATTCTGTATAGTTTGAATGAATTTTTCTTTCTTTCAGAACATACTGGATTCATATTTGAGATCACTCTGGGAGTATTGATCATTATTTTTTTCCTTCTTGTTACATTACTGGAACAGATGTTTTGACAAAAAAATATATGAATACTTACTTTACACCTTTTTCGCCATCAGAATCACTATCGCTTGTTCCATCAGAGGGAATATAGAAATCTGAAGGGTTCTTGTTGTGACCTTTCAGATTGTTTGATTTATTTTCCTCAAGGTCAATCCTTTCAGGAGAATTCATCTGTTCCGTTATACCTTCTGCCATATTTGGATATCCTTGCTGTAAAAAATATATAAACAATACATAGGACAAAATTTGATAAAATGCTGATTGAAGCAAGGAAGAATTCTGAACATGTGCAAGAAAAGTTTTTGAGATGTAATCTTAGACTATATCTTGATAGAGATCAGTATGAATATTATGTTGAATATAAGTTCACTTTTGTATACGTTTGTCACATAATACATCTATAAAAAATATTGTCAGCCTGTATCAACTGTTCTCGAGTTAATTGAAGTATTGTTCTGAAAAAGATTCAAAATTTTTCTTCACTTCATCAATTACCTTAGTTTTTCTCCTCTCAGTAATATTAAAATATGTATCAACTTTTCTCAAACCCTTATATATACAGGCTGATTCACGGTGGATGGCACATTAGACGTTTCTGGTGAACCAAACACCTGATCAAATTTCGAAAATTCAATGGAGAGCATATTCGAACCTTCTCTACCCAACTATGTTCGACAATGCGGTGTTGCCATTTCCATTAGAAAGTTGTAGCAACTTCGATTTTTCAAATGGAACACCCAGTATATAATATTATCTTTGAAATGTACAATAATATTACCTGATAACTTTTCTTGATATTTCCTTATACCTATCTGTTAACGTTTTTCTTTTTCGGAAATCATGACCTCTGAAAATGCAGATATCTTTTGAGTTAAGGAATACTATGGTGCCGAAATTTGGTTTGGAGTTAGCTGATACTTGGATGCTTCTCACACTTGCTTGAAAAAGTGACTGAAAGTTGATTATTTCAAATGGAACACCCTGTGTATTATTACAAGTTCTGAAAGCTGTTGAAATTTGCTTTCTTTCTATGTACATCATGCGTTTACCTAACTAGTCAACTTTGAGACTTATGAGCATTTATTTGTGAAAATGTCTCTTCAGAATGGTATTCAAATTCGGTATTTTGTGAGCAGGCCATATAAAACACTATTTATATTCATGTATTATTCACCAATTAGGTAGCTCAATTGTTTATTAAACTGTTAAAATTATCTTGCACAGTAAGTTACAAAAAAACTCTGTTTTATATAAAATTATTCATTATATATTTTGAGAATGTTAAAAACGGTATTTGGAGTATCAACTTACTTCAGAAAAACTTTCTACAGATAATTGAACTGAGAGTTTGTCCTCTTCAACACAAGGATCAATATAGTCTTCGTCTTCACTAGTTAGACCTAATTCACGACCATAGCATTGATGAACCTGTGAAATAAAAAAATTTGTCAATACTATTTTTGAAACATATTTCTTCAGTTTTTTATATGTATGAATCCATAATGAATTTTTTAATTCACACTATGATCAAAAAGTCATTACCTAACGCTACTCTTCAATCTCTCACATCAATTTTTAGTGATTGGATCTTCTATGTGCCAAAATCATCAAATAAAAAATTTTGTCATGAAAAAAATAATCGAAGATCAAAATGGCATTCAGTAAATTTCACAACTATCCAAAGCCTATTATAGAAGGGGCGAAATCATCTTGTAAACGAATTTATGGAGAATCTTTTGAAGTATTATGAGTACAAAGTTTCACATGGAGCAGATTCAAATGAACTATTTCAACGACTAGTATCTATTGTAGTAATAAAAGATGGTAACTTCCTTATTCGAAATGTATTATTAACTTGACCAAGATTTTCAACCATGTCTTGAGATTCGGCATTGAAGTCATCGCGTCACTAAGAATTAGATTATACTCTTCGTCATCCTTTGAGAATTTTGAAATCTTTGAGAAATGATACACTATCGATGGTAAAGATGTAATAAATATATATACACACACACACATATATACACACATACATACACACACATATACACAGACATATGGTCAGTTTGTTTTTCGATTTAAAGATATATTTATATAATAACGGAACACTATTTGAGGTNACATTCATTTCAAAGTGCAAAGTATATGGATCTTATTAACGATTATGTAAATATCAGGATGGTCTAGTGTGGAATGTTAGGTATAAAAAAAAGATAAAATAGCATTATATTTTCCTCAGTTAGTAATACCTCTTACTGTTGCTTATCAACTTCAGGCTTCCTTTTTCTCATTTTTCATGCAAACTGAAATTTATTCAATCTTTACCCATTTTAACCTAGTTTGTACAGCTTCCAAAACCACTCTGATAGTAATGTCAATATTTAATAGTGACAGATTATTTCCAGTTAAAAATCCTGTTTTCTTTTAAATTTTCTTTCATTTGGAAAACTTAGTTTTCATCGTGAAATCGATGACATCCGCTATCAATTGTCTTTTTATTTATTTATTTGCTCTCAGTTGAAATACACAATACATAAAACATTTCAGAATATTATCACTAGACAACTTAAAAACTTTGAAACCAAAAGTTCGCACTAAAAAGCAAATTTCTTTAATCCTTAGTTCGCACAAGTTTCGACTTCTGAGGATTGTGGTTTGTAGGGGTAGGGCGATAGCTGGTTAACGTTGAAACAGTTTTTCTTAAAACTATTCTTTTGAGGATTATCGTTTACAGGAACACCGTGGTCCTGTGAATATTTGATCAAAGTATGCTGTGCTGAAATGGGATTCAATTGGTTTGTTAGGTAATTTTTTTGCTAGAAGCTTGAATTATAAGGGGCTTTGGCACTGAGTCGGTGATAATAATTTTTATATTTTAGTTTTGATCAAGTGTTTCGCGATGAAGTTAGTTGATGCAGATTGTATTTTAGTCTAATATTATGTAGTGAATAACTGAACAAAAAATAGGAAAGTCACTCATTTGCCTTTTTTATTTTCTACCAAATACTTTGAAACTATCAACAAAAGAATTACTTTTGCTTCAATACTTGTTTGGACTGAAGTCATCTTTTGAAAACTATATACTCAGATCGTCTATAATTAAAAAAATATATATCATATGGACGTTTTCAGACCTTTATCTTCATGGGTCACAGGCAATTAATGAATAATTTAATTGTACTCAATTATACACAGAGGGTGTGTGTCAGTTTGCTGCATATTTGACCGAGTCTTCCCTTTTAAACAAAGTATGAAAGTTTCTTCGAATTGAGTTAAAGAGGGTTTTTAGTTAAATATAATATTAAAATCTGTTACATCTGCCACTTGCTACAATTAACTTCGGTGTACCTTAATACCTGCTAGAGGAGCAATTGCTAGATGAAAAGCTTTGACCTAGAAAACGAATATTTTTCCTAACAAATATTTCCTGGTGAAGGAAACACTTTTTTGTTAGTATTCATTGTGATTTGATAAACTTTGACAAAGAGAACATGAAACCTGAGAAAGTCTCACCCATGTCCACATTTGTTGTGCCGTCATAGGCTGATCCATAAGAGCATTTTGCCATACACGAAACAACATCAAGTACGTCTTGTCTCGAGACACAAAACTTGTAAAAAAATATTTCTCTGCTTTGTTGCTGATCATAATTGCGTTCGGTATTACCAAAGCAGTCTTTTCCTTTGTTATGGCGGTGACCTCTTTCCATTTTAAAGTAAGGTTGGTCTCCCAGCCAAAAATGTTCGCATAAAAGCATACAAAGTTCTGAGTTACGTAGAGACGACCATGTTGGAGAATCTCTTTTTGTAAGGCGCAAGAGTAATCTGAAAGAAAACTTGAAGTTAATTCCGCAACAAGAGGTTCAACAAAAATGATTGTGGATTAACTCGTGAGTGTTAGTGTCAAAATAGTTACACTTGGTGACTTTGAAATTTGGATTGTTAACAGATTAAAACACCGGTTAGTTGTTAGTAATTTGGTTATTAGAGTTTAGGATTCATATAAATACATAGTATAGTTACTTTTTTTTTGCAATCTCAGTGGTGTATAGTTTGGTAAAATACATGACATGCTTAATTTGAATATACAGTGAAACAATGCATAATAAATATGGTGAATTTCACTAGTTTGGACTGCCATTGCCTGACATGATTCTAATATGATTTGAAATCTTTGAAAGAACAAATAAAATTAGAATGAATAGCTAAAATATCAATTATATCAAGCAATACAACATGAAATGAAATTACAATAAAATAGAAATGAGTAAAAAATTAAAAATTGAACAATTAAAAATGAAATAAAAAAATAGACGACTAGATCACCCGAAGACGATTGTGGATACTAACAATCGAAACGTCGTGAAGTAACTTTGTTTGAAATCTTTTTTAATTTCATCTTTAATTGTTCAATTTTAAATTTTTTGCTTTGTTTTATCTTAATGTAATTCCATTTCACGTTTTATTGCTAAATATAATTGATATTTTTAGCGATCCATTCGCCTAATATGCGATTCCATTGCCTCTTTCAGAGATTTCAAATCATATTAGGCAATGGAAGTGCGAACTAGTAAAATTCACCATGAAACATTGTCAACTACTTTCAGACAAACGTAATAATTATGTATTTGATTAGTTCGGACTTCCATTGTCTAATATGATATGAATTGATTTGAAATACCTGAAAGAATCTGTGAAAAATAGGTGAAAGCACTTGAATAACCTATAAATAGTCAGATCTCAGAGGAATAAGTCCAGTTATCACCCGAAGACGATTGTGGATACTAACAATCGAAACGTCGTGAAGTAACTTGGTTTGGAATTTTTCAATGTTTATCTTGTGTAAATAGATCAATTTTTTTGATTTTTGGTTGTTGCTTGTATTTCATTTCATTGTAATTTCAGTTTTTTTTGCTTGATATAATTGTTATTTTTTTAGCTAATCTTGCAATATTTTGTATTGCAAATACTCATTTCACATTTCTTATGTTCTGATCTGAATGTAGACTGCCTTTGTTGAAAATATTTCTCGATTATGGGCTTCCTTCTGTGACATTCGTCAGATGGATCTGGCATCTCTATATCGCCTGCCTCTCCATCTTACTCTTGCTGCTGTTGTCGCTCGCGCTCTTCTCGCTCTTTTATGGCCATTACGGTATTGGCATATTTCCGAAACTCTCTCCAATTATTATTTCTTGTTACCACAAAGTTCCCAATAAAAAGTGGCTCTCCGATGCCAGCCTGAAGGGTCTGCCTCTCTGCTGTCCATCTCGGGCACAGAAACAACGTATGTTCAGCATCGTCTCTTTCATTTCGACAGTAGGCGCACTCTTCGCCAGTAGTCTTTCCGATTCGATGCGTGTAGCTGCCGAAGGAGCCATGGCCTGTCAGGAGCTGCGTTGCGAAATAATTTGTTCTCCTGTCTTTGAGGACCATCCAGTCTTTCACTGATGGTACAAGTTTCTTTGTCCACTGGGCCTTTTCCTGTTTGTTGTCCCACCTCTCCTGCCATTTGTCCATAGTTATTTCCCTAGCCCTTCTCCTTCGTGCCGCCAACGCCTCGTCTCCACTCCTCTCGTGGGTGTATTTCTTTTCCGCAGCAAGAAGGTCTATAGAGATCATGCCTGCTACGACCTATGCCGCTTCTGCAGACACTGTTCTGTACGCAGATATGATCCGTACTAGGCTCTTTCTTTGGGTCTTAATCAGAATTTGTCTGTACTTCTCCATCCTCATGGCTGGGTACCAAATCGGAGCTCCATACAGTAGGATGGACTGTACCACTCCTCCTAGTACCGCCCTCTTGCTGCTATCAGGTCCCCTAATGTCAGGCATCAGTCTTGCTAGGCATGCCGCTCTAGCTTCAGCTTTTTTGCCGCTGCTATTACGTGAGGTCCATAGAGTCTGCCACTGTCGATAATTATCCGCAGGTATTTAAGGGTTTTTTTTGGGATTATTTCGGTTTGTCCAAGCCGAAAGGTTATGCCATCCCGCTTCCTCTTTCCCTTCAGTATTATGGCCTCGCTCTTTTCCGGCGCTAATCTGAGCTTGTGGATAGCGATGAAGCTCTCAATTTCTCGTAGGCTCCGTTCCGTTTTCCTAATGAGGTCTTGTCCGTCTTTTCCCTTAGGTATATGGGCGAGATCGTCAGCAAAGCCGATGGTCTTGGCACCTTCAGGAAGGTTTAGTCTGAGACTGCAGACTAGGCCGAACGGACAAGTCGGCTGTGTCAGAACACGTACTTAACGAGGGAAGCCACAGGATTCTGTTTGAAACCACAGAACTCATTGCCACCAATCAGGGATACCATAGCCGACTGGTAGGTACGGAAGGCAATAGAGATCCACAAACACACGTATAATTTCAACAGAAAGAAGAAGCTGTGAACCTCAATCGAATATGGAATCCCATTATAGGAAGTTCAAGAATAGCAAACAGCATGACGGCAGGTAGAAAAAAGGTCAACGAGCGTTATTGACAATTTACCAAATCCAGATACAGGTATTGTCACACCCACGCTTCAAGTTCAGGTATTTAGCACATCAAACTACATCTTGTCAAATCTACAACTTGTCTCTCAGAGTCTTCTAACGAATGCACATGTAGTGAGCGGAACCATAACGGAATTCAGAAAGCTTTTCCAATATTTGACAAGCTGTACCTGAAGAGTCAACATAAATACGCGTGCATTACGCAGCCGTAATATCCAGTCATCGGAGATATTAACTCAGGATGAACAAACCTCTGAAGAAGCCAGCGAAACGTCATGAAGAAACTCCAAAAATCCAAGGCCTTCAAACCCGGAAAATAATGACACTGAAAACCTCGGTCGCGAAAGCCTTAATCATTTTGCCTTAACAGGGATATTGAAATAAATGAATATATCGTCAAATATACACTGTGCCCAAGATTAAAATAAACAGCATGGGGATATCGGAGACCAGCGGCGGCTCGTCAGAGGAGGCAAAGGAGGCTTAGTTTTTCCTTATTTTTGTTTTTTTAATGGTCAGTTTTATACGTATAATTTTCGGCAATACACAATTTTTGTTTGCATTTATGCTAATATTACGTATTTTGCTTTAAATAGGTGCGTAACCCAAAAAATTTTCGCGCCTCCGGCGGGCTTTTCTGTGTGTGTATAATCTTTATGACTTTAGCCTCCCCTGTTCTCCAATGCACGAGCCGTCACTGTACAGAAACGGTAAGTGATACGAGGTCGACTGAATTGAAGAAAAGTGGCACATTCATGTGCCTAACAATACGCCATTTGTAAAGTTTTAATATTCCGAGTAGTTTTGGAGATATCCAAGAAAAACTGAAATTTGAGACTTTCGTTTCAATTTTCTCCCAGCCTTATTTTCAAAGGAAATGTAAAACAAATATCACCTTTCCATGGCCACTACACGATAACGTAAGCTGGAAAAAATGATAAATAATGTTCTGTTGTCATAATAATACTGTTGTTTGGTAGAATTTTTGACATATTACCGTTCCTACTTTTACATCTCGATACCTACCTAATTTGTGTTAAAAATGGAAAACGGCAGCATTTCGAATACTGAAAAATTTGATATGTTGTCATGTTATATTTTGTGCCAAAGAAATTGTGTTGATGCTGAACGTGCGTACTCTAATAAGTATCCAGAGAGGCGACAACCTGGTAAATCAATATTTAGACGTTTAGTTCCTAATTTGAAAGAATACGGATCATTTGAAAAACCTGTGGTTTCCCGACAAAAGCAATCTGATGAAGAAATTCAGCGGGATGTGTTACAGGCCGTTGTTGAAAATCCTGAGATATCCACTCGCACCATTGAAGATAATACCGGAGTAGCCAAATCCACCGCTCACTTCATTAAAAAAAATATATCATCCATATAAATTCAGAATTTGTCATGGACTCAGACTAGGTGACGATGCAAGGCGAACAACCTTTTGTGAATGGTGCACTAGAAAATGCCAAGACGATGAAAAGTTCCCTTTCAAAATAATTTGCTCTGATGAAACTAAGATTACCAAATATGGCATTTTTGATAGGCGGAATGTTCATTATTGGTCACAACAAAATTCGCGTGTACACAAAGTTTCCAGACATCAACATCGTTTCGATTTTAACATGTGGGTTGGGATTCTCGATACGAATGTGGCCTTATATCTACCAAAACAATTTAACAAAAAAGTTGTACATAAATTTGTTAGACGCTGTAGATAATTTGCCTTTATTGGTTACTCACAGCTGCTGGTTTCAACAAGATGGTGCTACGGCACATAACGCTAGAATTGTTTGTGATTATTTGAACAGTCGCTTCCCAGGACAGTGGATTGGTACTCATAGTGATACATCCTGGCCTGCAAGGTCCCCCGACCTAACCTCACTAGACTTTTTCCTTTGGGAATATATTAAGAATCAATTGTACTCTCATAATTTTCAAAATGAAGAAGATTTGCTAAGGTTGGTTACTGCATCCTTTAACAATATTGTTCCGAATATGTTAACTCAAGTTTTAAATTCGTCTGTGAGACGAGTGTAATTATGTTCACAAAATAACGGCAGGTTATTTGAATACTTGCTATAAGTTTCTGTTTATTTCCTATAATACATATTAGCTCCTTGTTATTACATTACAATTACATTTTAAACTAAACTTTTGATATTGCCACTCATCTTTGTATTCAACAACGCAAAAATTCCGATAAGTGGTAAATTAAAATTTATTGTAAATATGACTAATCAATTTACTTCATATATCAAAATATGATATTTTGTCCAGCGCGAATTATCTAAAGTTGAAGAAAAGCAGGTTGAGTAATCACTTTTCATTTTG